ACATTATATATATATATGCATTTATATATATATACCAAAACGATTCTGTTCACGGATCCAAAGTAGTAAACAATTGTTAATATGCGACTCCAAGTCAATTGTACTCGGTTGCAAAGTTTGACTTGTTGTACATGTGCTTAATTTTTATAATTGACATGTTCAGATGTGGAATGCCATATTAATTCAATATACATTTTTAGCGCCATATCTGGTACTTCTCAACATATCTTCCTAGTCATAGTGAAAGCCTGCTTGTATATTATAGTAAACATGTGTATAGATGAAGCTCGCACGACTCTGATCTGCAAAATCATTTTCACATGGCACATGTTTCTGACCCCCATATGACGCGTCTGTCTGATATATCCGACCAATACTTTGCCGTCATTGGTTCATATACATGTGCTATCAGTATTGTGCAGTTTATCAATGTACGTGCCATATGTGGACCTGTCTCTAGTGGGCAAGTCCCATTGTAAACGTTTGTTCATGAACACTGTCGCACCTATTCTGCAATGTTGATACCAGTACTTTGGATGGAATGAATACAGTATCAGAAGTTTGGCGTCGATCTGTTCCATATGTCTTCATAAGCACTGCAATTCTAGATTGGTTTTGATAGTTTGATACTCCACACTGTTGCAGAGCACCTCGAACGCGGGCGTATGTATCAAGTATATGGAAACAGATATCTAGACTCGGGCGACCTTCAGCCACAGTCAGCACTAGTCCAACGAAACACAAGACAGAATGGGACAGAGTGAACACTGCGGCACAGCATCGGAAGGACACGAATTCTGCGCGTGTCATTCAAGTGCTTCCCACGGCCTATCAAAACAATCGATCTATTGCTGCAATCTCAGGCGTTAAGGATCACTCTATGGCGCACTCAACTTACAAGGAGCTGATAAAACGTGGTACTAAACCAGACACAGTGACTTATAATACAGTGATCGTTGGTTATGCGAAAGCTGGCGAACTCGGTGACGCGATGGATCTGTACAAAGAAATGACAAGTGCCGGATGTCATCCACATGTCAATACATACACATCACTCATATCCGCATTTGGACGGACGGGCCAGTGGGAACCAGCTATCAGTCTGTTACGTGACATGGAAATAGCAGGTGTTGAACGCAACACGTTCACCTACAATGCCACTATATCCGCTTGCGAGAAGGGAAATCAGTGGCAGAAAGCCTTGGAACTGTTTAATGAAATGGAGGCCAGGTGTATCAAACGCGATACGATTTCATATTATGCCACCATATCTGCATGCGAAAATGGGAACCAGTGGCAGAAAGCCTTGGATCTATTTTACGAGATGGAGACCAAGGGTATCACACATGATACAATTACCTACAATGCCACCATAATCGCATGCGAGAAGGGAAATCAGTGGCAGAAAGCCTTATATCTGTTTTATGAGATGGAGACCAGGGGTATCAAACGCAATTCGACTACCTACAGTGCCACTATAACAGCATGCGAGAAGGGTAATCAGTGGGAGAAGGCCCTGGACCTGTTTTATGAGATGGAACCTAAGGGTATCAAACACGATACGTCTACCTTTAATACGATTATATCCGCATGCGAGAAGGGAGATCAGTGGCAGAAGGCCTTGAATCTGTTTAATGAGATGGAGATCAAGGGTATCAAACACGATACGATAACCTATAACGCAACTATAACCGCATGCGAGAAGGGATATCAATGGCAGAAAGCCTTGGATCTGTTTTATGAGATGGAAAATAGGGGTATCAAACACGATACGATTACCTATAATGTCACTATATCTGCATGCGAGAAGGGATATGAGTGGCAGAAAGCCTTGGATCTGTTTTATAAGATGGACACCAAGGGTATCAAACGCAATACGATTACCTACAGTGCAGCTATATCCGCATGCGAGAAGGGAGATCAGTGGCAGAAAGCTTTAGATCTGTTTTACGAGATTGAGACCAAGGGTATGAAACGCAATACTAATACCTATAATGCCGCAATATCTGCATGCGATAAAGGTCATCAATGGCAGAAAGCCTTGAACCTGTTTCAAGAGATGGAAACCAAAGGTATCAAACAGGATACGACGACCTACAGTGCCACTATATCGGCTTGTGGGCAGGGTAACCAGTATAAGAAAGCCTTAGATCTCTTCATGGAGATGAGCGAAAAGAACATACCACTAGCTACTGGAAGCTATAATGCAGTTATCCAGGCACTAGGCTCTGATTGTAAGAACAACGACCTTATCGATGTGTTGTATGAGGACATGCTTAGAAGTCTGCCAGAGTTTGGTCAGCGCTGGCTTCGTGTTAACAAGCAAGGAGAGCTGGATCTGCACGATCACTCGCAATACATGGCACAAGCCGCAACGAGACGGCTACTACGTGTTCTCCAGACACAAGAGGGCTGTGATTCCCATGAGAAAGGTTCGAACTTCAAGTGCATCATCGTGGGCCAGGGCAACAACAGCGCTGATGGACTACAGCTACTGAAAGCCGTGCAGGCACAACTGGAGAGTCTGAGTCCCCCAATTGCATCCCACACCCAGTCTAGGAATAAGGGTCGGCTAGCACTTAGTAAGCGTGATTTGAGTGAATGGCTGAAGCATAGCGAATGAGGGATTGCGAGTCAATACCTTCAATGATTTTGTTGTGACAATGATACATCATGATAACACACTGGTGCACATTCCGTGTATGAGCACTTCCGATACTTGATGGAGTATTTGATGGTGAATTTACTGCAGTGGTCTAACTATCATTGGATGTCTGGAAAATCAAGGCCATGTATTTTAGTTTGGACTGGTTGGTCGACCCTCATTGCGGAATGCTTGATTTCATACAAGTACAAAGTCAACAGGTATGGGCTGAACACCAGGTGTACACCAATCAGTAATTGAATACGCATAGGTATACACTTAACGGCTACAGCATTTTCGGGAGTCCAAGAAACAGCTCACCATCTTGACAATATTATAAGGCCTAAATGAAGGATATATCACTAGATCTTTTATGTCTATATATACATACATACACACATCTAAATATATATATATATACATATATATACACACACATATATATATATTTATGTATATGTATATCTTATATTATATATATATATACATACATATATATATGTATGTAAATGTATTAATATATATATATTATATATATATATATTTATATTTATATATATATAGATAAATAGGTAGGTAGATGGATTTAGATATATATATATATAGACATATTGATATGAATTTACTATGATCTCGCAAACAACATACATAATCCCAATGGCCTCGCCGAAAATTGTCATTTTGGACTGTATCCATCCGTATCCGAACCTACATGTAGGTATCACAAAGATCCTCGTGGCTTTACAAACACACCAATATATATATAATGACGGAACACAATTTGTGCTGCGATATAGCCCCCCAAATAAACCTGTTTTCGATCGTTTTTAATTCAGCGCACGGTATTAGATATTGAAGCTTTCGCAATCATTTGATTTATGCTAAAGTGATCGCCTATAAACAAAAGTATGGATCAGCAGTCTTGCGTTTTTATATATATATTCTCAGTTCAAATCAACAGTGTTCAATTGAGGCATGGTTCAATTTAGGTATTCATAGCGACATAGATCAGTTACGGTATTCGGACATGCAAAAAAAAGCATTATCATTGTGAAAAGAAACCGTGTGAGTCAATGTAAAACCTACCTAATACATGCATACTACTGACAGGCATATATATATATATATATATATATATATACTATATACATATATATATATATATATATATATATATTATTACTATATATATATATATATA